AGCTAAAGATCAATTAAATAATTAAATGAAGCACAGAGGGCCGTCACGTATCCGCCCCCCCCGTGGGACCGGAGTGCAGGTGGGCGACTGACTGATGGGACACGTGGGATCTCAGCTGCCATCAAGACTGTTTGAACCGTGTTTCGGGAGGGACCTCTGCGCACGACTCCAGCCCAGAGACGTCGCCCGCGCGAGCTGAGAGAGTCCGCTCGCTGATCAGGGAGACGAAGCAAACTGGGAGCACTAGACGGAAACTCGCTGGAACTGAATACGCAGCAGCGCCACCTTGTAATGACCAGTATAGACAGCGTGTTGCCTCTTCCTGTGCTGTTTAAAGGTCTACTGTAGCAGACTCTGTCCCCGACGATGTCGTGCTTTAATCTGAGGCCTGATGGACCCTTGTTCTCATGCTGCTCAGGTGGGCAGCCGGACCGAGCAGAAGGTCGGACACGCTGGACACTGATGGGTGATGGATGACCAGTGGAACCAGAGAGTCCAGACTAGGACTCCGAAGGATCCTAAAGTCCCACTCTCTGCAACACGGCTCAGCAACTAATTACATGCATGAACAGCCCTCAGAATAAAACGACAACAAAGCTTCTGGTCTCTCTTTCTACTTCACACCATCTGGGTACAGAACCCAGTCTGAGCATGTTTGTGTGTGTGTGTGTGTCTTTACATCCTGCGTGCTGACCTTAATCAGAAAGCACCTCAAGACCCAAGACCTCCTGCTGAAGCCGATACCCCGGCTTCTCTCAAGAAACAGCTGGAGGAGACAAAGTCCTCTGGGCGTCAAGCTTCTGTATGAAAGCAGCCGACTTTAGACTAATTAGGCAAAGAATCGGTCCAATCCAGCCACGCGGAGCTCAGCGGCAGCACAGACCAGCAGATCCAGTAGCTATCCTGCCCCCGGGCTATGTGATAAGATCAGAGGAGATCCACTGATCTCCAGTGCTCCTCCAGGTCCAGCCTTCAGAGAGGATTCCAGGTCACAGGGGGAAACTGGAAAGCTGCATTCTCTAAATCGAGTCCCCCGAGGGCCGGCAGAGGGCTCAGATGGGGCCCTTCTCGTTTAT